TAAAGCTGTCAATCTTAAAACTAGTGTTGCGCCGATACCGATACCAGTATCGGGCAGGGCCCAGATTCATAACTAAAAGAATCTGTCGATATGACACGTATCTCGATACACGTCACGATTCAATTTATCCCACTACATTAACAAAGACAATATATTGTGATTTTTATAATAATAATTCTCTGGAAAAAATGAGAAAGGGTGCTACCTACTAGAGGCTGGAGGTTTAATAGTTATATAAAACTAAAAAACTAAAAAGATTGTTTTCCTATGAATATCATTGTAACCTTTAAGATCCATTGGGATACTTGTATTTTGAACCATTACAAATATTGTCTAATAAAATAACTTGATATTTGAAAGAATCAATATTTTATTTTACTACTAATGTGGAGCATCTGTATCTTGAGCATATTACCCCGATACCCTTTAGTTCAATCCTGACCAGGCAACCATTTTTCAGGTGTCACCCAATTAGTTGATACATTCCTGCTGTAATTCAATTTCCATATAAAGCCAGCTGTTTTGTGGTTTCAACAGCAACGGATTGTAATTTTCACATCATTAACACAAAATAAGACAGCAGATAGGCAAGTAAAGGATATATGACTTTAGAAACTTGGGCGTCCACCTAAACCAACAGGCTAGGCAAGAAAAGTATTAACCAGAGAAAAGGTTAAATAGCCTTTTGTTTTGTGGAGAGATCTACAGCTCCGGTATTAGACAGCTATTATTAGGCATCCATAGAGGGACAAAAGCAAAAAAGATTTGAGGCACAGCCAAATTATGCTAGGCAGTTAGCCTTCAACATCTTGTTTGGGATAACTAACCATGCTATGGGGCACAGCAATCATTTGAGAAAAGATGCACATTTTGGCCTACGTATATGCAAAGTGACATATGTAAAAGGAAAACTAACACCACACATCATCCTCAGCGCACCACTTCCACCAAAGAACAATCTGCTGCATGATCTGAAATCTGCTGTTCACAGATGTGAACATCTGCCTGAGTGAGATAAGAAAGAATTAGTGAAAATCCTTAGTTACCTGTCTGTAAATCAAAGACTTGCAGCTGTAACTGAAGCCTAACATGGTTCTATTAACAATTTAGAAGGGCTTGCTAAAAAAAAAAGTATTTGCATTTAAATTTTTTTATTTATTTGAAAAAAAAAATAATATTTCTATTTCCTACCACTTTATAACTATTCACTTTTTTGGACTCTGTCAATTAAATAACTCCCCGGCAAAATCTCTTTGCAATTTGTGATTGCAACATGAAAAAGGTGAAGAAATCTAAAGGATATGAACACTTTTATAGGCCGCTGTTCGCGCTGCATATTGATTACAAAGTCGAGATACTAAATTAAGACAGTCGGGAAAGACTAGTGTGCACCGAGCACAAAGCCACATGTACGAGATGTACTGAAGGGAACTCTGTATGGGTCAGCTCCAGCTCACATTGGATTACAGCAGTGACTCATCCAGATTGTAACGGTGCATGGACACCTTCATTCAACTGTTTAGGACACTGTTGAGGGAGAGATGGACTCAGTCCAGGATAAGTAACAGATTAATACTTCAGAGAGATCAGTCACGTGTGGCTTCATAAGAGCTTAAGCATTCGGTTAATATTCTGCATTTCAGCTGAATTTCTGGGCTGGGGTGACCGTCTAGGTATGAACTTAGAGAAAAAAGGAAATGCTTTCAACTAAATATATTCAAGAACTAAAATAGTTATGAGTAAAATCCAATAGTCTGGTTTTAATAGGTCATTTCTAAGGTGCTTGGGGCTCCTGTGAACCACAGTGAAAGCCATTCTCCACAAATTAAAACTGCTCATAGTGAACCTCCACAGCAGGTGATGGCCCATCTAAATTACACCTATACATCATAATGGATCTAAGGTACAGCAATAAAACAAAGAGCATGAAGATGCTGCAAACCTTGATGCCTATGTGAAAGGAAAGGGTTCATTATTCAGCAAAAACTAGAGGGGAATGAGCAAAAACAGCATCCTTTAAGGGTTCAAAATCCAAAGCAAAAAATTGAACTTTTTGGATGGCATGGTACAAAAGGTATAACAGCAATTGGCAATATGAAGACTCAAACATGGTAGCAGCAGTTTAAACATGGTCAGGGGTCTGCTTTGAACAAAGTCTGCTCCAGAAACATTGGAATATCCCAGAGGAGTCTGCCTGGCAATTACCAGTAGCCGAAAGCCTCAAGCTTTGGTGCACTTGGCTTATTTAGCAATACATTGATCTATGGCACATAGAAAAGTCTACCTCAGGTTGTGAAATGTTGCAATCAGGACTTTGATTATGCTATGACTAGGACTATTTTGCTAATGGATTAATCTGTCCATTTTTCCCCTATTAATCAATTAATAATCAGATGTCAAATGGTTCCTTAAAGAATTAAGAGATAACTTAAAATTAATTGTTGCACTTGAGGAGTTCAGAATTAGCATATTTACAGAAAAAAGTTTTTCATGCACGTGCAAAATGTTTAGATATTTTTCACAATTTAAGCATATTTAATGCTCTGGGTCGGTTGCTCTTTTAGTTAATGGCATTTTTCAGAGTCTGTTTATCTCCAGCTTGCATTGAATCAATTACTAAATTGGTTGACAATTTGACAATAATAATTTAATCATGTTTAATATGATACACTTTTTCATCACTAGTCAAAATTTCTTCCTAAAACAAAAATATCCTCAGAGCCAGTGGCTGCATTACAAAAGCAAGCATTGACCATTTCTTTAGCAGCAGTTTTGCGCTCAGTTTCAGTAATGCTACATTATTTTTAGCCAAATTAAGGTTTATTCAGACCTATATGGCTCTGTGTGAAAATTGATCTCCTAAACCTTAATAACTGGTTTAGGAGGCAATCAACGTTTGTTATGACTTGTGATCTTTTACAGCATGGACAATTGTTTTATTCCAGCCACACTTTAAGATCATGCTTCAGCATCTCAGTAGGATCCAGGGCTACTCTGAGGTGTTCATTTTAAATTTTTTTGGCTGTTTTAGCCATTTAGTAATGGATTTGTTGTTGTATTTTGGATTGTTGTTGCAGAACCCCAGTTGGTTTCATTTTGAGATCACAAACAAATGGCTGGAAAGTGTGGTCACTGCGGTCGCTGGAGTCCCAAAGCTTCAGATACGGCTTTAAAACCCTTAACTGATATATCTCTATCGCAGTCGTTCTCTTTTGTTTCTGAATTTCTTTGGATCTCAGCATGATGTCTAGCTGTAAAGAATCTATCAGTGTACTTTTCAAGGCAGGTCCTTTTTTAGTGATTTTATTTAGTGGGAACAGATTTGGAGGTCCTCAGTTGTGGGTGTAGCTAAAGAAAGGAAACTTAGTTCTAATAAATACCAAATAAGTTGTGATTTAACAGTGGCAATCACTTCCACACATGGCCATGTAGATTTAATTTCAAAACTACAATTAGCGCTATCTTTGACAGTTATTTGAATTGTCTGATGTTCAAAAAGATACAAAAAATACATCTAGAAGAAGGAAAACACTTTTTCCCACCAGTGTGTAACAAAACAGATCCATAACTACTCTGACAACTAGTACTCGAGTTAAGGGGGGATGAAGGGGGATGGCATCCCACTTCTTAAAAAAATCCTAAAAATCATCCCCCTTCTTAAATGACCATCTCCTCATACCATCCTCTGACATTTAATTATTGAATGTGTAAAATTTCAACTATATATTAACCGTAATGGCAGTAATATTGCCCATTCAACATTAGGCGGGCTGTGGGATTACGAGTAGCCTGAGCAAAATAAATAAAATCAAAGAAGTGTCCTACCATGACTATGAAGCTGATCCCATTGGGAAATTTGTCCCTAACTATGTAGGGGCAGTGATAGCCATGCCAGTCCAGGGACTGACTGCAGTTCTACTGTAAGGCAACCATCGGCGTACCTGACATGTAACAACCACACCATGAATATTGCTTTAGGTTAATAGACAATATTAATTAGGCTATGTGTTCTGCAAAAAAAAAAAAAAATCCACTATCGCCCTTTTTTGCACAACCAGACTACTGCTGACTAGCAAATATAAAATTATTTTGATTGATTTCTTCATAAAGAATTCTGAGCTACTTCCTGAAGAAAAAAGTGCAAAGTTAAAACAGTTTCAGAGACGCTTCTCTTCCTGACAGTCTATTGTCATGCGTTAAATTAAAGCTGTGAAGCTTCAACAAAAATGAATGAAACTGTGATGCGAAGTAGGCTTCGCTTCGAGGAAGGTTGTTGTACAGATGCTCTTCAGGTATATTGAATGTTCTCCTCCTGGAGAAAAAAACCTTTAGGAGAACCTCTGATGTGTAGTGATGATGGACCAATTAATTCTCATCATTCAGGAACATCTTCAAGCCATGTCCATGTCGCCAAAAAATTTTGACAACCTATTTTTTATGTTTTCTTTAAAGAAATAGAATAATTGATTTTTTTTATACCTAAATATATTGTTAAAAAAAAAAAGTCAACAATTAGTAAAGCAGAACTCCTTTTGGTCCTCATCAATCATTTTCTCCTCTATTGCTCAGCTATGATGGGATGGCACAAGCAAACATGTAACCCCCCCATTCTGTGATATATGGAGACATTAAGCGTTAACATGAGTAATGAAGCCTTTGCATGAGTCAATATAAACATCCCACAGAGCCAAACAGGACTCTCAAGCGGTGTTTACTGCAGATTTCTTTAATTTGTCACAGTTGTGTCTAAGCTGTGAGCTGACCCCCACCACTCTCATTCCACAGTCTTCACCTCAGAGGGGATCATAGCTGTATATTGTGTTTCTCCTGTAACCCAGGCAACAAGACCTCTAAAAATAACCAGGGACCTGTGTAGATCAGCCATTTTTACTGTGACCTGTATTTCCCCACATCAGTGCAAATCGGAACAATTCACAATCACCTCCTGTGTCAATGTAAAAAAATATATATATATTTTAAATACATTGTCAAACTGAGATTAAACTGATTTTTCTGCTTTTTTTAGAAGGCAAAAGTATTTTATCACATAGCATTTCTATTTTTTGAACAAGGTGAATCCAAACAAGATGTTTTAATTGCATTTTAAATTAAATGCATGTTGTTTAGCACCCCAATTCAAGGAAAAAGAATAACAAAAATTGAATGATCTACATCTTAAAATGTACATAGATCATTAAATATATCAGGGTCTGAATGAGTTGAATTTATTAAGACACTTTTGATTAACCTATTTTTTCCACATGGGTATTGGGATAAAAGACAGCGAATTTCACATGCTGTGAAATCCATCAAAATGTTTTAATTTTTTCAGATTTTTTCATATGACTGAGAAAAACAGATTGATGCTTTACCTAGGTCATGGTATGATCTATGGTTTCGGCACAATCATTTAGAATGGTGAGGTGAGTTGATCTTCATCAGCGCAGACAGAATGTTTGCATTGTGGAGAATGAGTTTACAAAAATAACTATCAGTCCACTGCTGAGGTCAGATCCCTTAAGAAGGAAATTGGGGACTGTTATTTACTCTAATATAAAGTAATGTAGAAGAGGAACACTGTGATTGATATCTGAATAACAAATACCATGTGACTAGTCATAAGGTGTGAACTGTTTTTTTCTATTCTACTACTGTAAAAGCTGTTTGAAAATTAAAATCTAAGTTCCCCTCCATCCCAGTTTTGGGAAAAGTGGATTTTTTTTTATTAAATCCTACAATTACAACAAAGAAAGCAGAATACCTACAATTGAAAAAAAGAATTAAACTGTGGCCTATTGAACTTGTTGCTGCTACTCATTTTCTATGGTTTCTTGACATTGATTTGTTGGTTAAAACTGCGCAGTCTTGACCTTGTATCTTATACTTTGAGCCATATCTCAAACTGATCTTTCTCAGGCCATTTTAATTCATATCTAAATGTTTTACGTCGTTCAAGGAAAATGGTCACTTACTTGTGCAGGACTGCGATTTCATTCTCAATACTGTTTTCCTTGCCTTCTAATGCTTTCTTAGGGATGCACTTGATAGCCACCAATCTCTGTGTCTTCTTCTCCTCGGCCAGGAACACTTCAGAGAAAGCTCCCCTAAAACACAAACACAAAGTTCAGTATTTAAAATCCTCCATCAGACACCAGCGTTTAGATAGGGTTCTTTACGGGTATCCCTAATATGGAGGGAAGAAAAGAAAAACAAAGGAATAAAAGTCAGGATTTGTTCTTAAATGTGAGCAAGAGAACTTGCCAATAAAACCTAAAAGTTCTGGTTAAAATCTTGGCCTTCTGATGCCAATCAGAGATTATTTTTAACATTAGCCTCCTCCTGAAGCCTCTGAGACGCTGATTCAAGTTTTGGCGAGTCTGTTAGCAGGTGGGATGATTTGGAACGCAACGCTGCGGGTTTATATCTGACTCACATGATGGGCAATAAAGCACTTAGATGGCTACATTATCTTGGTTTATTTGAGGGCGTTTATATGGATCATATAAATCTCTCAATGCATCTTTCCAGTTTACCATATTTCACTCAATTCCAACCATGTAGCCTCTTAATAAAATTCAATAGAGCTGCATGTTATTACACAACTTTGTAGTGCAGCATTGCATAACGCAGTGATACACAAATGTGTATCATAAAAATACATTTATTTATCTTTTTTCCATTGTACTTCTGTCTTCCAACTAACTAACAAATAAAAGAATCAGATATGAACAGCAAGTATCACTGCCTGGAGATCTTTATCAGTTTGCCTATATGAAGATAAACAGTTCTACTAAACTCTTAAGCCCAAAAAATCCTGACTTATAGTAAAAAGAGTGACATAACTGCTTATTCTCCTGGCCCACAAGAGTGTACAGTGTGCACCCACCCACACTAGTGGGATTAGTAGCACAACGGAGACAAGAGGCTGTTTGATAAGGAGGCTGAGGGTTAGGATGAACAAAATATAAGAACTTAAATTGCTCTTAAGCTGCATAAGAGGCTCCCAGACACAATGACACTAGTCTGTGTCAGCTGTTCCAGTATACATTTAGAACTGTGTAGATAATAATATTCATTTGGAACAGTTTCTAATGAAGGAAAAAGCACAGATCCATGTATCATACAGATGTTTAAAAAAGTGAAGTTTAACAGAGCAAATATGATGAAAGAAAAACTACTTTGTTCCCAACAAGGTTTTAAAATCAACAAAAGAAAGACAACATCGTAACACAATTCACAGCTTTATGTTTTTATTCTGGTTGTAAAAAAGACATTATAGGTCAAAATTAACTGAAAGGGTTTTAACCTGCTTCACATCATAAATGTGGCCTATCTGACAAAGCAAATCATAATACTGTAACTGAAGAGAATCACAGGACAGTCGTGGTTAAAACAAGGTATGCCTTTTTATCAGTTTTTGTGAATTTACATTTAAATTTACAGTAACAATCGAGTGTTTTTAACAGGTCTTCTGACCCAAGGTGCACTTTCATCACTCACCTTGTTGTGAAGGAACTAGGGGGGATTTTGGGCAATTAAATCTGATCTAGGTCTGATTTTATGGGCCTGCATCTAAAATATCTAATATTGCTGATGCTGCTTCTGTTTAAAATTTCTATAACCCATTAATTAAAATTGCATGGGTTAGTTGTTCTTACACCCATTGTTTTTAATTGCTGTTGTAATAATATCACTTGATCAAGCCTTTTCTAACATACTACAGAATAAGTGACAGAAGAATTTATGATTCTTGCTAAAATCGTATCGGGTCATTATCGTATCGGTCGATTCTCAAAGCTGCAATTATAGGTGTCATATCAGAAATGAAAAAAGAAGAAATGTTTACCATATTTTAACACCATGGGACTTTTATAATTCATTCAAGCTGTCAGATCGATACAAAAAAGTTGGACATTAGTTAGGAAGATAGAAGTGATCAAGAAATTTAGATAAAAAATAAACTTTACCTTCTAAAAAAAACAGCTTTTGATTTCATTTACATAAAAAACAGCAGAAATGGAAGAATAAACATCACCTAAGGAGGATAACATTTATGTGAAAATATGGTTGTATTTTATAGTAATGTGTAAAAAAAAAAAATCTGATGCATCTTAGATAATTCACTTTACACAGCTAAAACAGTTTGGTCGTCATTGTAGTGACTTAATCTTGTGCTTAAAAAGCTTAAAGCTACAGTGTGTAATTTTCAGCGACATCTAACGTCCAGACTGCAGACCGCAGCAACATGAACATCTCCCCCCCACCGCTTCTCCCACCCAACAGTATGGCGAGCGTTACGGGACAAAATGTCTTCCATGACGTCCGCATCACCTACCTTCTCAAGTGATGAGGTTTGTTTACATAGATAATTTTACAGATAGTATTTCATTATTCTGTGTAGGGTATAGATTTCAGTACCGTCTCAGTTCATCTCTCTCAACTTGCCGTAGTTACTTTCGAGCGTAATGGGCGATCTCGCAATCGCTAGTTTGTTGGCTCTGCGCTGCCGTAGCGCAAAGATGTCTGCCTCCATGGCTGCGAGACCCGCTCCTATGTAATTATAAATAACGAATTCTAAGGCAACGCAAATATTAAGGTTAAGAGGCTGAGCTCGTAGATGATGATAAATAACATAGTTATGTATAATATATTACATTTCTGACTATATCCCTGTAATTGTTACACACTGTAGCTTTAATAGAGGCAGAATATAAATCAAACTGAATGGAACTCCAAGAAATAAAATAAAAAAAGGCATGTTCCAAAACGTTACTGTCTTAGTAAAACATTTCATTCTAAGCGTTGAGGTAAGATTCACACTGCTGCTAGAGAATAGAGCGAAGCAGCCGCAGCTAAAAATGTATGTGTGGGCCGAGGGGAACCACAGCCTCCCTGTCAGTTGGTTTACAGATACATTATCATTTACAGACAAGGAAGGACTGCACAGCAACAAAGCCAACTGTCACCAAACAGAGAAACCTTCTGACTTACAGTGTGTGAAACCCTTCTCTGTATAGAAAAAACTATAAAAAAAATGAAAAATGCATCTAAAGTTACTTTTTTTCATAGAACTGTGGCAAACTGATAGCATTTAAATGTTTTGCAGTTTAATATTAAACACAACCACCAGAGCTTAAAATGCATTCTTCTTCACACCACTAATCTTCCAATTCCCAGTGCTAAAAACAGCAAAAACTCAGCCAAACCATGCTGTGCAGAAAGATGTTTGAGTATACCAATATAATCAACTGTATAGATTCTAGTAGTTATTACTCTAATCAATATAGTTAAGTTACCGCCCTGACCTAAATGCTGGAGTTCGATGAGGAAAATAATTCAGTGTTATTTTATGCTAACACAACCACCCTAAGAGTGAAGCTTCTGGGTCACAACTCATCTAGTAACCTTCACAGTCACAGAAAGGCCATTAGGTCTGGAAAAAATCCAGCTGTGTAAAGGATGCTGTCAGAGCTGCAAATTCCTCAGTAGCCTTTTGTTGACATTTTCCATGCAGCCCTTGTCAGACCAAAAGGCAGAGGAGGTGAAATGTCCAACTCTGGTTCACAGAGCATTCAAGAAAACCTGAGAACACTACGACAACCTCTACAAGAGAATATTGCATTATTTTTCACAAAAAAATATTGCTTAATAAAAACAACACATTTTATTTGTAATGCACTTTACATTTAAGAAAAAAAACTAAACATCGCTTTAAAACACTTATGAATAAAATCAATGTCACAATGATGAAAAAAAATCTTACACTAAGATATTCCTTACAAATTAAGGAAAGACAAGCAATATAACTTGATTTTTCTGTCAATACTGACTGTAAAACAAACAAGAGAGCACCCTAAACAATAACCCAACTTTGTGCTTTTAACTTCCTGTTACATAATCTTTTGGTACACTTCTTTTTTGTCTTACACTTCTGCTTTTAGGTCAAAAAAGGCGTGTGAGGCAGATAAATTATAATTTTAGAGCACCATTTCAGTCACAGCAGGAACAAACAAAGTGGATTTAATTAAGAAAATCATGAACTGTGCTGTACTTTGACAAAAATACAGGTTGGATTGTGTAAAAACCACAAAGAACAAGTAATTTTTAAAGCATCTAAATAAAGGAACACAAAAAAAACTAATAGCAGTGAATGTGAACATAGTGACTTATTGCAACAAATAAATGATCTTAAATATTTATTCATGATTCATCATTGAAATAAAATGAAATTATTTAAATGTTTCAATAAGGTGAAATCTTGCTGAAATTGAAAAGTATGTTTTACTATATAAATATGTAATTGTATGATATTTACAGTGCTCCTTTCATTAAATAATTGTTTAAATTCAAATCTTGAAAAACATTTGCTTATAATAGATATCTCTTCTTTATTTAAAAAAAGAAATGTTTAAAAAAAAAGACTTCAACCTTTTTTCTCTCAAATGTTTGCTTTTCAGATTGAGTTTTAAGAGTTGCATTATTTTTAAAATATGTTTTACAGACCACATTCTCTTCTCTTTTGATGGCAGGATTTTCAGCTGTAGTGAGGAGCAAAGATCCATTTCTATCAGTCAGCATGGACTTGGCGTGCGCGCCAAGCGCTAGCATTTGTAATGGGCTTGATCAGAGAAAGCAAAATTTTTAATAAAAGGTTTATCAAAGTTTCATTTCTGGATTGTATTATTTTCTATTTACAAAACCTGTTCTTTCCTTGCAACAATAATTATACAAAAGTTGCAGAAAACTGCAGTTGGGCAATATTGGAATTCCTTAACATATATCACTAATCAAAACATTGTTGCAGGCCATGTGCCCCATCATAAAAAAGGTATTCCCTGATAGCTGAGGCTTCTTTCAGAAAAAACACCTTAAGAGGCACAACATACTGTTAAATAAGAGACTTCCGCTGTTATGTATGTATATATATATATATATATGTGGACACAATGTATATACTGCATATACCCCATGCACCTTTTCCTCCTTTTGGCATCTTCTTTTTGACTACTGAGCCGATGTAACAAGTAAATTTCTCCACTGTGAGATCAATAAAGTCTATCAATCAATCAATCAATCAATCAATCAATCAATCAATCAATCAATC